CTATTCAGGCAAGGGCTAGTTGTTGTGAAGGGCAGCCTTTTGCAAGGGTGAGGGGCTGGGCGGGCCTTCCCCTCAGAAACTCGCTTCAGGTTTTCACCTTAAAGTACTGAATTGCTTTGGCTCTGTGGTGACCCTTGCCCCTGAAAGCCCTAGCAAAGTATTACATTGCAGAGCTGGTAACATAGGATAAACATTACAACTCCTTGGATGGCTGACACCACAAGCTTCTTGTGCAAAATCTCAGAGCTGAAGTTGTAGCTAATGGAAGCTTTCTGATTTACTAACTAAAGCTGAAGGATCTCCCCGCTAAGACTTAAATCCAAGGCATTACTAAGTACTGTTGTCCTTAGCCTTGGAAGGGGAGCTTCCCTTCTACGAGGGGAACTTGTTCTGTGTTTGCTAGCTTAAGTTTTCACACCTTCGTACAATTGATGTGTTTTGCATAGTTCTTGCTACACAGCCAGTATGTCATTTAACCTGCCTGGATCCTTGCAGTGTTAGTGGAATATAGCACTTCTTACTAGTCTTTCCCACCAGCACCATCTTCAGCCCCTAACAGTGGTTCTAACAGAGCCCAAATTGGCAAATTACCATTCTTGGTGCCACTTGTGATCATCACAAGGCTAGGTACACTCTGGCACATCACACCAAGCAGGGGGAAAAATGTTACCTGATGATATAGTTTTAGAACTGCACTGTACAATGAGATGAATGTATTTACAGCAAAATCATTGTAGCAGCCAGCTGGAATTTTGTACATTATTCATATTTATAAAACATTTTCTCCTCTCCCTCATGAAGTTTAAGAAGATACTTAGAGCACCCCATGGCAGCTGAGCATCTGACCTGCAGGAATGTTGGCCAGGCAGCAGTAGGGGCTGGAGTACTCCTTCTGGGGAGGAGGCTGCCCTCGGAGGATTCTAACCCCTGCAGGACAAGAGAACCTCACATGCAAGGGTTATGAGCTTTACACAAAGGCTAGTGGGTAGCTCTTGTAAGCAGGGCTGGTGCAGAGCCCTGCTGGAATGTAGTCTTAAGAGATGGCTATGGCTACCTGCACATCTCATTCCATTGTGCAGGTTACTGAACATGCTTTGCACTTGTTTTAATCCCCTAACTTCCCTTGGCTGAATCATCTCTATCCTATCTCAGTTAACTGAATAAACGAATCGGGGGGGTGGAAACCAACACAGCCATCCTAAAGCTCAGCTTCTGTAGTGACTCTTCGCTGTCTCCATTGTTGATAATCCCATTACAGGCAGAACTGACAGTCTCAGCACAGGTCACTGCTTCATTCATGTCTCACACTGTGGCTTTCAGATGGCACAGAATTCACTAGCAGCCAGGGGATGGTGTTACACTCTGTCAGATCAGTTCTCAGGTTATTAAACTGACACTTGAGGTAGTTCTGGGCTGTTTCTCCCTACACATACCATTGTAGAGCATTGTCTTCCCCACATCTACCCCTTCTATACAAAGAACTTAAACCCAAAGATTACTGATGCTTAGGAGGAACTTAGTACAGGAAGTCAATTTTTAAGCACACCATCCAGAATCTTCCCCTTCACCTGCCTTCACTGTTTATACCTGCACATTTCTCTTGTGTTTGAAGCACTGAATTCTTCTTGTGACTAAGGTGCAATCTCCATTTTGCTGGGACAAACATTCATGGTAGTTGCTGGCTTTCCTTGATACTGACCTCTAAAATACAGAGATGAAGTGAGGGGTGTTTCCACATGTCTTCTCAGACCTTAGCTGAGAGTGACAGCTCTCAGTTACTGTAAAAAAAATGGAACCCAATTTCTCACTCTAGCAAGTAGGTCGAGCTGTCTGTTCACATTTCAGCTCATAATACCCCACCCACCCCTGATTTTTTTTTAACTCACTAAACCTCAGCTGATCCAGATGCACTAAGGAGAGGCAGGTAGGGTTTAGTTCCAAGTCATGCTGACCCCTCGTGGGCAAGAGAAGGAGTGACACTGACAGGTACCAGCACAGAGGCTCCTTGGCAGCAAAAGGAAATGAGTGGTCTTGCCAGTCTTCCCTGTCAGGCAGGAATCTCTGCTTTGTACAGCATTGCTAAAGGAACTAGGTGCAGAAATATTTCAGCAGCAGAAGTCCATGCCAGCTAGATCCCACCTGCCAAGTGGTATGTTCCAGATGACTTTGATTAAGGCAAGACTTGAGAAATGAGAGAGAGAGTTGGAAAAGCACAACACCCAGGTTGGGCACAGACAAAGCATTTGTTTCTTCTCCCCCTACCCAAAAAAAAAAAAAGCAGCACAGGCAGCTGCTCATTGGTGCTATAAATAAAACAGCTCTGACATCTCAGCTACTTTTAACCTTGGATGGAGATAGCTGTATTAGCAGCTTTTGTTAACACAACAAAGGCCAGGGCTTTCACAACGGTCTTTGTCTAGTGAAGCCAGCCAAGGCAGGAAGAGTCAGAAAAGTGAATTGAGTCCTGATACCACAAGAACTCCCTTTAAAGCCTCCATTTGGCATTGTTTATCGGCATTTCTAAATCTGAGCATTGAGAGTTACTCAAAATGCTGTTTGCAGACTGTGAAACGTTAGCCTGTCATTAAGGCTAAGATTTTGTCATGGTTATTTTTAGTAAAAATCATGGACAGGTCACAGGCAAACAAAAATTCACAGAAGCCGTGACCTGTCTGACTTTTGCTAGTGCAGCTCCATGGTTTCCTGCACCACCGTGGTGGCTCGGAGCTTTGAGGTTCCCTCTCTGCCCATGGCCACTGGAAGCTGCAGGGTGACCATATTTCCCAAAGAGAAAATGGGACACCCACAGGTGTCCCCCTCCCCCTGATGCGAGGCTGTGGTCAGAACCCTGAGGAGGGCCCCCTCAGTTGTTTGTCCCCTGTCACTGGAACCCTGCCAGGGCCCCACTGGCTGTCAGCTCAAGTCCTGCAGCCCCTGGGGCTGAAGCAGAGAATGTCATGGAGGTCTCTGGAAGTCACGGGTTCCATGACTTCCATGACCTCTGTGTTATAAACATAGCCTTACTTGTATCCGTGCAGGTAGAGGACATATGCCTGGAACAAAAGCTTTGCCTTCCATACCCGATGCTTAAATGAAAACAGAAGACTACAAATCCCAGCCCTCGGCCAAAATATTCTGCTGAAATTTCAATGTGATAGGGAGTTTTCTGGCCTGCTGTGCCATATGGATAAAGGTGAGTTTAGTTTGGTCTCTGACCTTGTGTGACTCCATTCCAAGGTCAGTACCTGAGCTTTGGAGGTCAAGTTGCAACAGCTATTTAAGCAGGCAGTACACCTGTTCAGGTTACAGGGCTTTGCTCTCATGTCCAGGACAAACACCAGAAGCAGAACTGCCTTTCTATAGCAGACCACACGTACCATCACATCTGGCAGGAAGAGATAGGAGCCTGTGTCTACTCCTCTTTAAAATGCAGTTTTGCAAGATTGGTCAGTTACAAATGCTTTTCATTCAAGCAGAAGAGGATTTTGAGTGTTTCCAGCTAGGCATTTATGCACTAGATTGAATTTTTAAATTCCAGAATAGGGCATAATTACTTAACAATTACACAGTTAAGTAGATGGCCTCTTGCATTAACGGCAAGTTCCTCTAGAAGTTACCACCAGTGCCAAAGGAAGTAAATGATCAGGGCACATGTTGCTAATACTATTCTAATTTCACATAGTGGAATTATGTGCATGACAGTAACAAATGCGCATGACAGTAACAAAATATGACAAGGGTCATATGACAAGGGTGAAGTAGTCAGCTGCTCCCCTCTGGAGCCCTCAACTCCAAAGCAGTTTAAGACTTACCTACCACACCAAGAGAGCTTAATCTTACACCCAATGGAGAAGTGTCCATAGTGGAGAAGAACCTGTATGCAAGTTGAGCAGGAAGTACTTGGCACCAACAGGAAATTTAGATTAATTCCCACTGAGCTCTGGAGGAAAATGGCAGGACAGCACTGCAATCTAAGAACAGAGCATCAGTGCTCGAGACAGATCATCATAAAAACTGTCACAACTGGCACCCTTTTACCAAGAAGCAACTGGTGATGCACAGGAAGTCAAATATCCCATTGCTCACCAAAGCCATCCCTTCATCAGATTGCAAGGTCACATGGGCACTGCTGCTGTGTATATATAAAGTGTGAATTGCCATGGCTCCCGTGGCAAGATGTTAGGTCCCCTCCCCACTTGAACCGAACTCAAAAAGGAGCCACTTTAGTAGTAAAGAGCGCAAAAGCATTTGAAATTCTCATCTTTTAATGGGCAATGATAACTTTGGGCTGGTTCTGTGTATACAATTAAACAATATACTTAAAGGTTCCCCCACCCCCCAAAAAAAACTTTCACACCCCCTTTTCTTCCATCAACGTTCCACTGCTGGATTTGGCTCCCACAGCCTCGCATACAGCTCTCAAGTCACTGCAGATCCACATCTTAAGAGTAATGAAGAACTGAAAACCCTTGGTGCACCAGTGATGTGTTATTTTAAAAATAACTCTATTAAACCAAATGCCTTCCCAGTCTCCACTGCTTCTCAGAGGAAAAAAATGTTACTGTGGGAGTCTTAATACACTTGTCTTTGTGGCTCTCTCTTTTCCCTACTGAAGTCATACAACGTAGAGTTCATAGATCTTCTTTACACAGTACACCAGGGCAGCAAGTGCTATTGTGTTATGCAGTCTCTTTCTGTGCAGGTCATCCTTTCTCACCAGCACCACAGGAGTGGAGGAGGTGAGTGTATGCAGGGGCAGGCGGGAAAGTTTATAGGCATCATACTCCACTTGGTACTTGCAGCAGGGGTCGAACTGCCAGGAGATACCGTAGAGGGTGCAGCAGGCCATGCTCAGCACGCCCGCAGGCAGGGAGATGTAATGGGAATAATCTACTGGAAGTACCAGCGGGGTAAAGAGACAAGCGGTGCCTGCTAGGACAGCGGTCTTGTGCAGGCAGTTCCCAACTGTGATCCAGCGAGCGGTCTCGTCACCGATGCGAGTGGGCTCTATCACTATATATTTGTACTGTGCTTCCAGGGCCTGCTCCAGCTCGTACTCAAACTGGTCCTGAGCATTCTCCCCATTGTAGATTTCATGCACAATGTAACACTCCGTGGAGGACAAGATGATCCTGTTAACAGAAAACACAGAATTAAGCTACAGAACACAGAGACAACCCTACCCCTACATTAACCCAGTAATCTTGAAGTTTGAGAGATTGACAACTGAAACCAGGTCAGCACCTCATGGTCACTTGATCACTGCTTCTTCCCTCAACAAAGTAGTACTTTTTCTGATCAAAACTCATTTGAGAGCAGCTGATTGTTCAAGGGAAACTCGGAAAAGCTCTTTCATTTAGGCTTAACTATGCATTTTACATACAAGTGAATTTTACTTTCCTCACTTCGGGGAATTAAGAACTTTTCAAGAAAACAAGATCTTGCGATTGGTTGAATCCTCCTGAAACAGATTCCCCACCTGACTTCTGCCATCAGTGACATCAGTGTCAGCTGCTGTGGAGATGGTGTCAACCAGCATTTAATTTGTAATTAAAGAGGTGCTGGGGCTCAAGCAATTTTTTTTATATTCATAACTGATGCAGCAAGCCCAGAGGTGCCAGGGCTATGAACTGCCAAGCCCAGAGTTCTCGGGAATCAACCCTGGCAAAAATTAAGCACTGGTGTCAATGTCACAAAGAGGAGACTGTCAAATGATAGAATGAGCCACCAATAGAAAAAAAAACAAAAACTATGGATACAAAAACAAGTTGTCCCCTCAACGAAGGTGTTGCAAATTTTCAAAGAGACGTGCGTTTTGGCCACCCTCTTTCCTGGCACAGATCAGAACAACCTATGCTAATCCCCACATTTCCAGATCCACACCTCAACCATGTTAGTTCTAGAACCAACAGCTATGCAACCTATACTCCAGCTTGCTAGAAGACTGGATAATTTGTGGGATCCAGCCTGTGGTGATAAGGAATGATACAAATGTGTAGCTAGAGGGAGAGGTGATAGCAGAGCATCACTCAGAATTTGTTAACACATTTGGTTCCTTCCTCTTGCAACAGGGGAAAGAGGTGGGTTTTACTGCAACATTGGTTAAATGCTAAGAAACAGCTGCTCGCATTACCCTGGAGCAGTCTCCCTATCCCTGCCACTGGACTGCATTAGGTAAGTTCTGTACACACAGACTGCATGTAAGATCTCCAGCCCTTTGTAAAATAGCTATAGGTAGCCTGGACTAGTTTCCAGCTTCCTGCCCCTCAGCTGCATCTTATCCTTTATCTTGTTACTCTAAAGTCCACAGATACGTTCGCTTATCTGTGCAGTAGCCTCACATCTGCTCTGCGCCCTCAACGCGAAAGCAGAACAGAGCAAATGGTGTTGTCTGTTACACAGGGTGGGTTTTACCTCCTTAAAAGAAACTGATTTCAATATGTTCTCTTAGAGCCCCAGTGTCCCGAGCACATACGCTCCCAAGGATATAGTTATTTGGCAAATTCCTTTAGCAGAGCAAGAGCAACCAGTACACAACTTTGTCCTACTCGCAGCAGACATCGTTCCTGATAGTACTGGGACTCACTTGGTATTAGTGATCTGGCAATGGAGAACTCTGCAACGAGACCAACACTAACCCTTCTTTCTCGCTCCATTAGTACAAAGATATAGTGGGTTCGCACTGGAAATGGCAAAGGAAGAGAGGATACATGTTTGCAAGCTCCTGTTGTACCAGCCATTACCCTTTAAATTCTGTTTTAGTCACACTGTGAAGGGTATTGTGCAGCAGCCACCTGCAATCAAGAATATTGTTAAATTACAGGCTGTTGCCTGAAGTAGCTTGTTTTCAGTGAATGGTGACCAACAATACCAAGCAGCAGTAGCTAAGACTTATCAGCCTCCTTCTTTAGGACAGAATAAGCTGTTTCTGTAAGAGTCTGGTTGGCAAGCAAGGTTTTCCGTGTAAGCTAGACATTGGGCATTCTCTGGTTACATTACATTTGCCTTGAGCATGTCTGCACTTAGAATAGGAGAGTCTGCCAATGCTGCCTAGGACAAGGACTGGTTGGCACATCTCCTATGAGATTCTATTTATTTGGTGATGGAAACAAAACATTTCACTGTGGAGCTTAAGATTTCTTTTCCAAAAAACAAAACAAAACAAATGTTCTCTAGCAGATTAACCCCTTCAGTTTGTCCATTGCTCAGCCCTGGAGCTGCAAACTTTTACTAGAAAACATTTTTGCTAATTTAAAGGGATCATGTCTAGCGAAAGTACAATATTTGCTTTAAAACATATTGAAACATGTATTTGTTTTTCATTTCAGAAAGACATTCCTAAGGTTTAAATGCCAAACAGAATTGGGTTAGCATTACAGCACCAGGAAAAGAATTTGAGCAACCTAGTTTCGCTGCCCAAATAGAGTCAAATGTAGTCATGGCATACAGGGTGAAGTTAAATCTTTTCACCAACTGTTTCCCCCTTGAGTAAGTACTGAAGACGTCTTAAGTGCTCGTGTAGCCAGGACAGAAGAATTTTCAGATCCATTTCAGAATGCATCAGGGATGGCATGATATTTACCAGAGATGGTTTTTACCTGGTAAAAACCACGTTTTTTAATCACCCCAGAAAAAACGAGTTAGCCACAGTTTAAGGCATTTTCTATTTTAAAAACCGTTTAGTTAATGCACACCACATTACACTTAGTTTTAGTTATATATTCAAATTGTGGTTACACAAGGGAGTAGATTAATCGATTAGGTTTGTACAATTAAAACTGCAGTGGGCGAAATACTAATATATTTAATTAGAATACTGAACATTAGAATGCCTATGCATTTTGGTTTGATATGTTCTCAAGCCAGTTATGCATGTCACGGCTCATTTCTGTTTTTAATACTCTATAAACAAAGTCAAAACCATTGGATTATATGAAAACGACAATAATACCGTTGTAGGCTTGAAGTGTTAAGCAGTCAGAGGTACACAGACTTGCAGACTACCAGGTTCATCTGGCCATGCAGCATTCTGCAGCAGAAGACCTCCTTCGATGTAGTGGACAGACTGAGCCCATTCCTCAGTTTTGAATCTATGTATCCAAAGCTTGAAAAGGATTTGTTCTATGCTTGCTGAACTAGCCGAACACTGATGCAATTATTTCCCCTGGTTTAAACCATATGTATGCCTGTATTTACCAGCGCCCTGTCCTAAACTAATTTTTTTCTGGGAAACTGCGAACCCTGAAAGGCACACTTGAGACATAGGCTTTGTGAAACAGCAAGTGGTTTCACCCAGTTGGTGCGAACACTTGACTTCAATCCAGCTTCAAGGGGAAATGCTGCTGAAAGCCATTTTCAGCAATGGTTCTGCTTCCTAGCTAAAAACAAGGCTCAAGTTTCTTACATCAGAAATGCCATGTCAACCAAGTGAAGTTACGGGAAGTGTTTATGTTGAGAGAACCACCCTACCCACTGTTAAACTTCCTATAATTTTGTTGGTTGCTCAAATTAGGTCTCTGGCAAGTTAAGAGGCAAGGGCCCATTCTCAGATTGGAACACACAAACCCAGCTCAGACCCCAACACTCTCGGGGCATGTCTACACTTACCTCTGGAGCGATCGATCCAGTGGGGGGTTGATTTATCGCATCTAGTGAAGACGCGAAAAATTGACCGCCGAGCGCTCTCCTGTTGACTCCGCTACTTCACCGGAGAGAGAAGCATAGACAGAGTTGACAGGGGAGCGTCAGCAGTCGACTTACCGCAGTGAAGACATCGCAGTAAGTAGATCTAAGTACACCAACTTCAGCTACGTTATTCATGTAGCTGAAGTTGTGTAACTTAGATCAACCCCCCCTCCCCCACGCCAGTGTAGACCAGGCCTCAGGTTTCAAGTGACTTCTTCCCTCCAGAATCCTTCTGGTCCTTGAAGGATCTTTGAATATTCCTCCTCCCCTGCCTTCCTTTCCCCACACTTTCTATACCCTCATAGACCCACTTGGTCAATAGCCTTCCAGTCAAGGAAAATAGGACAGGAACACATTAAACATGGACTGAAATTACGATTGGAAAATAAGTTTATTCAAGCCCTCCTCTCTCTTCAGAAACTTTATGCATTCTTGGGCTCTAGGCTTTTATAGGTGTGAAGTCAAAACATGATGCATGGGAGCAAAAATAAGCTCAATAAAACTGTTCCATATAAAAACAACGAGGAGTCCTTGTGGCACCTCAGAGACTAACAAATTTACTTGGACATAAGCATGGAGTGGAACATACAGTAGGGAGGTATAAATACACAGCATTTGAAAAGATGGGAGTTGCCTTACCAAGTGTGTGTGTGTGGGGGGGGGTCAGTGCTAATGAGCCAATGCAACTAAGGTGGAAGTGGGCTATTCTCAACAGTTGACAAGAAGTGTTTGCTGTGTGGTATACTCTTGTGGTTCCAAGCACAGCAGCTGCTGATCCCTTGACCAAATAATCCCTGTTAGAGCAACTTATTCTTCCATCAGACAGTGCTCAAGATGCAATTGTTCATCTTGGCAATTGACTAGATAATCCTAAAAACAAGGGATTGGGGGGGAGAAGAGAGGATATGAACTACTCAAACAGTAGCAGGTATGAGGAGACAGTGGAGTGAGTAGAAATTACATATGGGGCAAATGCAAGGTAAATATTACACTAAAGTTCAGGCAGGTGGGAAGTTAAATTCAGTGTGCGTCATTCCCACATTCGAGGCTGGCTGCAGCAGGTGGAAAGCCTGGGGAAGCCAATCGCACACAAAAGAAGAAAAATCCAAAGAGTGTGTAATGTCCCCCCATAGCAGAACTCTGCCTACAAGACTTACCAGAACTTGTTGACATGCAGAACAAGAAAGGGGTTCTTGCCTCAGAGACCTCAAGTACAAAGACTAACAAAACTGATTTTCCATGACATAGAGCCTTTCATTTGAACAAAACAGCACACACTGAAGCCTGTGAAGTATGCTTTTTGGAACTCACCACCACCCCTGGAAAAAACACAGCCAGGGTTTAAGCATTGTCAGTGCTATGCTTGTATGGACCTAGGTGGGGGTATTGATAACTCAGTTATTCTCAATTTTACTTGGAAGTGCGATAAGTAACTAATGTCAGAGGGAATCCATGTTCAGACAGCATGTAATGATGCCTGACAGCCAAAGGCTGGATGTGCTAGTTATGCTTAAAAGCAGGTGTTAAACTGGAAATGTTAAATGATTTTCTAGAGCCCTTCTTCCAAGAAGGAAGGGCTTTGCCACAGGAAAGTTTTATATTCATTCTGTGGTAGTTGTGTAACTTGTATCTTGAATGCTCTTTGCATATCACTAACGGATGAATCCCATTTCCTGTCATTTTTTTTTTTTTTAAGTGTCTCATTCTTGATGCCTGGCTTTTCAGTGTCCTTATAAAAAAAGGCAGAGGAATGCTCTGTTCTGATGGTTCAGTAGATTAAATGGCTTTTGTCACTAGTTTTATAAGTTTCGGAGTAGCAGCCATGTTAGTCTGTATTCGCAAAAAGAAAAGGAGTACTAGTGGCACCTTAGAGACTAACCAATTTATCTGAGCATGAGCTTTCCTGAGCTACAGCTCACTTCATCCGAAAGCTCACGAAACTCTTATGCTCAAATAAATTGGTTAGTCTCTAAGGTGCCACTAGTACTCCCTTAGTTTTATACGGTAATTTACACTGATTTCTGTACTTGCAGGATTACAAACAATGCACCTCAGCAGATGATACAGCAACCACCAGCAAGAGGGGCAAAAATGCCCATGTTAACCACATGGTGAGTTTAAAATTAAATTTGAAATTTATTCCCCTACTAAAAACATCACTGAGTGCACCAAGAACACATTGCAGCTAGCTAGATGCTAGGCACTCACAAAATTTCCCGGTTAGGGTTCCAAAATCTGCCCTCTCTGTCTCCCCTAACAAGTTAAAAAGCCTCTGGTGGCCACCTAAATGTCACAGGATGCTTCTCAAGCTACCCTATGAGCAGTGCTGTCTAGCCTGTTTTCGTGGTCTCCTAGTCACAAACACACGGTCTGTTTCTTTTTCACCACACATACCTTTAATCCCCAGTTTCCAAACTCGGCAGGACATAGCACAGGTATACAGCAGGAGGAGCCTTTCACATCTTGCTCTCTTGCCAGCTCTGCTGAATTTGGGATCCAGGACAATGTCCTGGAAGAACTCTCCCAGCATCCTCCTCCAGCCAGCAGCTGGGAATGGAAAGGAGGTAAGTCTTCTCATCACTGGGGTGCCCCTGGACCTCACTGGTGGAGACCCCCTCCCTGTCCCGTCTATCATATATACTTCTGGCTAGTAGTTTTAAGTTCTGACTGGTTGGTGTCTGGAAAGCATCTCCACTCCTGATCAGAAGTATCCCCAAATTGTGCACAGTTCACGATTCCTTTCTTGCATTTATTGTTCAAGTTTCTGAACCCCTTTTATATACAACGTGTAAGCCCCAGGTTGGCCTTTTGAAATAGCAGATACAATTAGAATCATAGAATATCAGGGTTGGAAGGGACCTCAGGAGGTCATCTAGTCCAACCCCCTGCTCAAAACAGGACCAATCCCCAACTAAATCATCCCAGCCAGGGCTTTGTCAAGCCTGACCTTAAAAATATCTAAGGAAGGAGATTCCACCCCCTCCCTAGGTAACGCATTCCAGTGTTTCACTACCCTCCTAGTGAAAAAGTTTTTCCTAATATCCAACCTAAACCTCCCCCACTGCAACTTGAATCATAAAATATCAGGTTGGAAGGGACCTCAGGAGGTCATCTAATCCAACCCCCTGCTCAAAGCAGGACCAATCCCCAATTTTTGCCCCAGATCCCTAAATGGCCCCCTCAAGGGCTGAACTCACAACCTTGGGTTTAACAGGCCAATGCTCAAACCACTGAGCTATCCCTCCCCTCCGTTGCTCAGGGACAACAGAATACCTGTGGTTCCACCATTCAAAGAGGTTTGACGACTGTAGGTAAACAGTACTAGGCAGAAATTCATGAGAACTGCAAATGCAGAGAGACCTGTTTGGGTGGTGACTGAAAAAGATGGGCTTCCTATTGTGTGATAATGCTTGTGATTTGCAAAACTTGCATCACATGCAACATGCACAAAAGAAATGAGTACACCAGTGCAACTAAGGACTGAAGGCTGGCGTGTGAATGAATTCCAATAGAGCCACATCACAGATGGCCAAAAGCACACAGTGTCTAACATCGTTAGAGTCCCAGCCAAACCTGAATAAGTCAGTACTGCGTGGACAGGCCAGACTCAAGAACATTAATGCACCAATCTTTTATTTCTAGATCTGGGTTCAACTCTGGTTACTTTCAATTATGAAAAATGAGTTGTGGTCTCACCTTAATCCCCAGTGTAAAAATTCCACATCACAAAACCATCATACAATTTGACAAGTTTGTCCATTTCAGCTCAGGAAAGGTCCAGGACTGCAACAACAGGGGTACTCCACATGAGAACTGAGGTATGGCAACAGCGCCGTCCCACATTCTAGCATTCTTAACCCATTACTATCAGTATCTCAGCACAGAGATAGTGTGTTCGACCACAACCTTCAGAGAACAATAATCAATGTGGTCAGAACAAAGAGGAGAAGAAGCAACAGCACAGAGGCAAAGCAAATTTCCATTCAAGGGATGCAACTTAAATGCAATAAGATTATAGCCAAATAAGGAATTCTATATAGTTCTCTTTGGAAAGAGGACTGTGGGGAGGGAGGGGAGAACAGACCAGGGAAAATGAGTCCGAGACCCTCAGAGCTGCACCAGTGATAGAAGACAGTACCCATCACTGAAAACATTGCAATAGCATTAAGGAGACCACACTGAGCAGGAGAAGTGCCACTTTTAGTTTAACAAAAGAATTAGCTAGACTAATGGAAGCAGATCAATCACTGCTCCAAGCAAGCGGATTGCTGGAAATCCAAGCAGTACAGGTAGTGAAAGAAAAGACCTTTAAGACTGCCCAGAAACATAGCTGGGATGACATTAAAGCTGCCTTATTGCATTGTTTATTCTGAGCTGTACAAGTTGGTGAGAACATTTCCCCAGGGAACAAGTGGCATTCTGTTCTGTGCTCTGGTGGTCATCGTGCAGAATTTTAGACAAGAACTCCAAGTGCACTCAGTAGCTGTTCTCCATTATAAATTGCTTTGGGCTACGGATTAGCAATTCCCTTTAGATACTCTGCATAAAGAGTCCCTTTGGAATGAGGGAAAGCAATATTTAGTGGGTTCTCTGTAGTTTGTTTTTCAGTATTTTAACTTTTAACCACCATCATAAAACCAGCCCAGAATCGACAGCTACTATACTGTTACATCCTTAGCCATATGCCCCACGAATAAAGTATAATCTGGTAGTGACCAAAGAGACCTTCCATGTATCAATCAGATCTTTTATGGAAGGATATAGTCTTCATAGTTACAGCTGCCAATCATTTTGCTACATTTGACTAACTTTCCTAACACTGGACAGTATTTTATTCACTAGCTATTCCCTTGACGTTACCCCTCAGCATACACTCCTTTTAGACTAGCTGGCTGACAGCTACAAACTGAGCTACAGAAATACCTTAAAACAGCTCTTTGATGAGAAAACTGGATCAGTGTTCTCAGTCAGTAAGAATTTGTCTTTGAACAAGAATCATATTCATGAACGTAAGAAAACTGTATTTGCTATATATAACATATACATGTCATTGTCTGATGATAACTGATCCATCACCATTGCCCTGTACACAAGCCGTGTTCCCAACACCACACAAGATGGGAAAAGACTCTTGAGAGTCTGGCAGTGGATATCTCCAATTCCACAAATGGGAGAACAACATCACTTGGCTAAGAAGATTTACACTAAAAGCAGGTGATCTTACCATACAAAGTTATTTGGAAGGGGAATTGTCTGACACCTAATAAGACTAGCCCTTTGCCAGGTTTGTGTTGGGAGGGAGTGTGTAGTAGTGGTTAGAGGTACTCTAGTCACAGATATATTATCTTGCTGTGTCACCTCTGTGCCTATTTTCATGCCCAACCCCCCCCCCCCCATTTGTAAAAGTTAGGATCATATTTAAACCTCAGAACAGGTCAGTTAGGCAAGTAACTCGTTTGTGTTTGTAAAGATTTCAAAGTATCTCTATACAACATTATCACCACCACCCCACCGAGGGCTGTCAGAGTCTTTAAATTGGGCTGTAGAACAAAGGACAATTTTGCTACTCCATAAAAAGACAGCTGCTTTCAAAGGCTGTTGGTTACACTAGCTAGCACCAGGGTGGGAAGAAGGAAGGAGATGCCAACGGAAGGGACAACAGGATTGAGCCAAAAGTTTTAAGAAAGTAAAGAATTATGCATACAGATTTTAAGGTAGTGCAAAAAGATTTCTCTCTTTCCTGTCTTTAAAGTTAGGCTTCCAAAACTTCTACAGCTACTCCGCACGTAGTTCCACCATGTCCCAGTTGCTCATCCATCCTGACAGAGGCAGAAACAAAGCTGGTGACCAAACATGCATTTTAGAAAGCTCTTTGTGAGTGCAGACACTACAAAAGCCAACAGCAGCAACCGCCACCAGAGCAGCCAGGCCAATTATACACCCTTCCCTCCCCCTAAAATTACTCTGCAGCCTCCAAATCCAGGGAGAACAGTAGTAAAATCCTAACGACACAACCCACTCAACCAGCATTAAGCCCTCTCCAAAGGGAGGTCACTCTGAAGGTCTTCTGTTGCCTCCACAGCCTTTCAACAGATTTTTAAGGCACGTCCTAGTCTCCAGAATGCTCCTACCACTGAGCAGGGTCACGAGGCATCATTCAGCCTAAGGGTTAAAGCTGCCTTTGGTAACGTGCAGTAACGTGCACTGACCTTCCCCCTAACGCTGCCTCTCCTTCCCTTTCCCTCCCCCGCCCCGTGCTCCTCACTCCCGTGGAAACTCGCCCCCAGCCAAGGCACTCCAGCTGGAGCCAGCTGCAGACCGTGCCTCCCTCGCCGCAGCTGGACTCTGCCCTGGATTTACCCGCAGGCTCGGGACTACCGCAGCTCTGTCCTGAGCTCACGCTGGCAGATGGTGGCTTGAATTCCTCCCATCACTGCCCTGTTCTCCCCCCTCCCAGCCCCACACCCCCCCTCACTGTCCCCTCCCCCACCCGTTCTTCCCCTCTCCTCCCTCCCCAGCCCCGCACCCCCCTCACTCCACCAGCTTCCCGCTCACGGTCTCCTTCTCCCCTCCCCCCACTGGTCTCCCCCTTCTCCCCGACCTGCACCCCCTCACTCCACCGGCCTCCCATCACGGTCCCCTTCTCCCCTCCCCCCACTAGTCTCCCCCTTCCCCCCGTTCTCCCCTTTTCTCGTCCCCCCCACACTGTGCCCTCCCCCCATGACCTGCAGCCCCTCACTCCACCGGCCTCCCCCTCCCCCCGACCTGCACCCCTCGCGAGCCCAGCCTCCCCATCTGTGCCGTGCCCCCCGCCCCGTCCCATCCCGCCCTCGGGGAGGGGGCCCAGCCTCCGCCCAGCCCGGATCAAGCAGGATCCCGGGTCCACTCCCCATCGCCCCTGCTCAGGGCCCTCTGGCGGCGCCCCGGAGTCCCGCCCTGCCCGCTGCCCGCTGCCCGCTCGGCCAGGCCTCACCTCTCCCTACCGCCACCGCCGCTGCTGCCGGGGCCAGCGCGCCTCCTTCCCCACGCCGCCATCTTGGAGACTCTCGGCTCGAGTCGCAAATGTCTCTCCGCCAAGGGGGCCCGGGCCCGCGCCCGAGCCTGCCGGGAAATGGAGTCCAGGCCGAGGGGCTGGCACCGCTGCGGGAGCGCGCCCTCCGCTGGAGCGGCCTACGACCCCCACCAGGCCCTGCGCCGCGCTGGGGCCCATGGGACATGTAGTCCTGCGGGCCGCAAGGCGGGGACGCTTCCCAGCTGGGGACGCGCCGGGCGGCGCTAGAGAGGCCCAGGCCCTGAGCTCAATCCCGTGGCCTCCCCCTAGCCTGCTTGTCTCCGCAGGGAAATACCCAGGGGAGTGGTTGGGGAAGTGGACTACAACTCCCACAAAGCACCGGGGCAGCCTCGTGGGAGCGGGCCACGTGGGGCTCCAAGTGGGGTCGGGAATGTGCTCTCAGCGTTGGGGGCAGGGGCCGAGCCCAGCCCCTATAAAAGCCTCCTCCGCGGGCTTCCCTCCCCCACTTCTGTAGGCCTGTGAGCCGGCTGCCCCAAAGCCCAGGCTAAGGTCAGGGAGAGGCTACCCTGTGGGATACTGCTCTGGCCTCAAACAGGCCTGACCCCACCCAACCCCAAGGGCAGGGTCCAGCTCTGGGTGGAGCAGTGGGGACAGGCTGACCTGGCAGAGGGGCTGGGTAGGGCCCGACAGAGACTCCTGACTGCAGCCCCAGCACGGTACCCTCCATGTCCTGCTAGGAAGGAGCAGGAGGGGACAGCAGTGTAATAATACATGCTGTAGATTACGAGCCCCCAAGTAACCTGAACATCGCACAGCTGCAGTGCAGGTGCTAGATTTCTTTAGCTCCAGCAAGCCAGGGCTTCTGCTACTGAGCTAAAGAGAAATCTCCTTCAGCTGTAGGACTGTGGTAGCGGGTTTATGTCAGCTGTAGGCGGGTAACCAAGAAGGGGTGACATATCGCTCTCAGTTGGGCAGGTCTGAGATTCCATGCAATAGAGGCAGGTCTATTGGCATCCTGGGAAGAGAGAGTCGAAACCCACCCAGAACTAAAGACCTGCCCCATCAAGTGTGGGGGAGCAATCACAGAGCCCAGAAAGTAACTAATTCTGGGGGGCAATGAATGACAAAACGGGGAGAGGCATGAAGGCCAAAGGTTCAAAGCAAAGGCTGCAGAAAGGGAGACTAAGCAGAGAACTCTGAACACCATCCACTGCCTCATGAAGGAGCCCCAAGAGTCAGTGGATGCCATCTGAGGAACTCTGCAATCGAGGCAGGATTGACGCTACACTGCTGGGAACCAGGCGTTGTTGGAATTCTCAAGGCTTTGGTTCAGTGCTGCATTGAAAACAGTAACGGAGCAAGAGAGCTGCAGGCTGCAGAAAAGACTGTTCCTGAGCTCAACACCCTCCATTGTGCCATCACGTAAACGCCGGGAATACATTATTTTCATGATTTTTTTTTTTAAAAGAAATCCCTTTTTATGTCTATTTTTCTGGATCAAATCACAAGGAAAACTTTAGGGAGGGGAGAGGTGACAGCACCCAAGATGCGAGTCTCGGGGTTTCACTTGCAGACAGGTCTGATTGACACATGGAGATGGATTACCGTGTGAGGGAGAAGGATGGAGGGCACGCAGGGAGCTGGTGCCCTGGCAGGGAAGGACAAGTGGGTGACAAGAGCTAGCTGTATTGTGTATGGATACTGTCGAGATGATAATATTTGTGCCTGAACTGAATCTGAACTAAAGATTCATCCCATCTTTTGGCATGAGCATGGAATCTCTGGGAATAAGCCTGCCCTAATAAAAGGAAGTGGACTAGCTGGTTTAGCAAATTTCCGTCTCCAGTTTCTTACTAGCCCAAAGCATTTTGCAGATTTAACAAACTGACATATAAACTTGGCAAAAGGATGACCTCACCCACCCCCTGAAATGCAGCTTCCCACAGGGTGAAATGGGAGAAACACCACCACATAACAGATTAGGAGACTACAGGGGTGATTTTTTTTTTTTTTTTGGTTCAGATTGCCATCTGTAAATTACCTGAGATGGAATTTGGCCAGGACCTACAGAAACCAAACTCACCTCATACCTTCCAGTATGTACTTAGCGCCGATCACGTGGACAGAAACAGAATAGAACAGGAGGCCAACTGTAACAGAAAGTAGGTGGAAGGAGTACCAGTGCTTGGCCACACCCTGCCTACCCTCCAACAGGGGCCAGTACCTCTCAGGAAGTGGGTAGTGCTGGTGTGGAAGGGGCTGGGACTAGAGCAATTCGGGGATGGGTTAGATTCAGCGCATCCTCTCCGCAGCCTCCCCTAGCAGAACTCCCATGGAAATGAAAGCTGCCATCCATCCCACGGTGTAAGCACTAAGAGGAGGGCAGTTTTAGGAACAGCACCCATCCTCCCTGGGTTATAGGCCCACTGCCCTCTGAGAACAGCAGCCTTGTAGTAGGTTTGGTAAGCTACAGTTTGCAGGGGATGAATCTGGTCCACTGTATTTGTGCTAAAAAGAAGAGGATATTTTCTATCATTGACGCTTCCCCGTCTTAGGTTACAGCAATGCAAAAGTAATCTTAAACAAGATTTTCCAATGAAACAACGTCCTTTTCCCCCAGCTACAGCAGAGTTCACAACATCCGCAGAGAGGGTGGTGAAACACTGGAATGCGTTACCTAGGGAGGTGGTGGAATCTCCTTCCCTAGAAGTTTTTAAGGTCAGGCTTGACAAAGCCCTGGCTGGGATGATTTAATTGGGGATTGGTCCTGCTTTGAGCAGGGGGTTGGACTAGATGACCTCCTGAGGTCCCTTCCAACCCTGATATTCTATGATTCTATGAGGGTGGCCAATCCCAGCTAAAGAACTTCAGTGGGGCAATACCTGCCCTACCCTGTCCTCACACTCAGTCAACGGAGGCCCCTTCCCCTCAGCAGCAGGAGCAGCAAAACTCCTGGTCCCTGCGGTCCCTTTGGAGATTGCCCAGCATTTCTCTAGTCCATTTACAGATGGCTCAAAGGGATCTGCTCTTAGCTTCTCTGATGTTACACCTCTTCTCCTTGGATCTGATGGCGCTCTCCAGGACATGCCACCTTGGAGCAGTTCGGCCAAGGTTCAGGAATAACAGCAGAGCCCTTCCAGAGAGAGGTGCTCCTTTCCTTCGCAACCATTTCCCCCTTCGGATACAGCAGCTCTCGTGTGCTGCAGCTTCCGTAACCCAGAAGTTCATTTTTACTTGCTTGGCGGCAGCAGTTCACAGTCTTTGCTGCTTCCATCACAGCATCAAAGAGAGCAACCACATCAGCTTCTGCTCCCTCCGCAGCCACCAACTGTCCTGTTCTACAGCCACAGCACCTTCTGTTCGAATGGTCCCTCTTAAAAGGGCTTTGGCCCATTCACTTTTAAAATTCCTTTCTCCTGCTGTTTCACTCGGTCTGCAGGAAGAGTCCATCACCGAACGACACCTAACTCCTACAAAAAGTGCCGCGAGACCTTTAGAGGCCACAAGAGGTCAGGGCGTTGGCTTTTGGTACATGTGTGAAGTAACTGACAGTGAATTTCAGAATATCGTAAGGAGGTCTGTATAGCTCCCTGCTAGGAAAATACCAGTGGTTATCAATAATGGTATTGATGAGCAACATAATGTAAATAAAGATAATGTAACAACTCCTTAGTCACCTACAACTTTACAGATGTTGGCACATAGGGCTTAGTTATGACGTACACAGGATAAGTTCTGATTTCTTCCAGCCGAGGGCAGTGGTGCATATACACTCTAGCCACGTCATTCCAAACAACGTGTTTAGAAAATGCCTACAGCACAGCAGAAGTCCATTCACTATGGACTGTACTGTCAAACAGCAACATTACCCTTTGTGTGATATCGGGTCAGTGGAAATACGACTTTCTGGAATGTGGAATGTAAATAGAAAGAGTGTACTAGCAACAGTCCAGCTTTTGTGTTATAAACCAAAAATGACGATACAGCTCAAAAGGTGCATCGACCAAAACCTCTGGTGCGTGCGTTTGAAATCAAAGCCTGGAACCAGACTTGAGTTTTACAAATGACCACCGGTTTTACAATGGATATAATCCAAACCCTACGACCAAACACAACCCCTCTCCCCCAGCCTGGGGCATTTGAGATCTGGCTTCAGATTCTGTGGCTTGCACCCAGCTCTTTTTGAAACAATATCATAAAAACAACTTCTCTTCGGGGGCCTGGAGACCAAGTACTTGAGCTGTGCTCCCAGGGCTTGTGAAGGCACTAGACCCCTTGATGGAATTGCCTTGTGTTTCGTGGTGGAGCCTGCCGGTTATCCTTGCTGTGTACAAAAATTGCAGGGAGTAAAGCTTTTTCTCCAAGCTATTGAAATACTATTCATGCATTCTAACCCCAGAACACAAGAACGCAGACCCCCAGGTCAAGGGACAGGCTTACAATTTACCAGGCCCTTGTAGGAACCCCAGATGGAGAGAACTCATCTTGGTGGTCCTGCTGCTGGATGGCAGCGGGGGGTCAGGCTGTGACTCCAGAAGCACTGAGCTTGAAGCAGGCATTACGGCCCAGTTCCTCAGAGGTATTTAGAAGCCTCATTTACATTGAAATCAGTGGGAGTTAGGCTTCTAAATACCTTTCAGATTCTGGGCCTGGGTGTGTACAGCCAGCCTTAACTACGACCCTGAAATATTCCACAGCTTCAGTCCACAACTCCTTGAAACTGGATGGGTTAGTTGCAAAGGGGAGCCTCTCCTTCCTCCCCATTAGTTGGGTTTGGGTCCCTGTCCTCAGGGAGGGTGGTTTACCAAAGAGCTTGGGTAGCCCTTGTTATAGGAAAGGAAAAGACAAGAGCAGCCACAGAGCATCTATGACTATACCGCACCATGTTCAGGTCAGCAGCTCAGCACCGGGACCAAGCCTCACCTCTTATACGGAAGTGTCTTTCTGAATAAAAATCCAGCTATGTATTTACATGTACTTCAGTCCCATAATTTCTGAGTACCCTCCCACCCCCCATCATGGATTTATCCTCCCAACAGCGCCTGTTGGATAGGGAACTAGCACCCCCATTTTGCAGATGGGAAAATGGAGGCACAAACCGTGACCAGCCCAAAGTCACACACCAGGATTTTGTGACAGTGTCAGGGATTGAACCCGGATTTCCCAAGTCCCAGTGCAAAAATTGCAAAAATATCCATCCCTTTCCCCAAAGTAGGAGCAGCCCCCATCAATGCAGATTGGTTAAGCCACACCTTTTATTGTATTGTATTCCATGCAATATGTTCATGTTTAATAGTATGACAGATAGGGAGGGAGAATGTTAGACACAAATGAAAGCAGAAAGGTCATTTGTGTCAGGTCCTGAGTAGGAAAGGCACATAGTTACCACTTAATTCAACAGGAAAAAAAACACAACCCTAGACAGAAGGAAACACAACACTGGAGGCCATACAAGAAAGAGGGAGCTTCAAATTGGTTGACAGGGAAGTCAGTTTGACAATGTCCTATAGAGTCCTTAGGTCTTTAGTTCAAATGAGCTTTGTGATCTCAACACACACCTGAAATCACTTTCTCATTCTTGTTCTAAGAACGTCTAGGAGTCTGAGATCCCCCAAGTTCAATCAGCACCATCGAGCATCACAAGGTGTGTGTGTGTGGGGGGGGGGGGGACTCCTTCCCACAGGGATGAGCTAGGAAAGGATGGGTGATGGAAGCGGAGTAGGGGGAGTCTTCCATCACCAGGGACCTGCAAGTCACATCCAGCTGCCAATGATGGATTACTGTAGCACGGAGGACTGCAGCAGCACCAATGACTTGCCTTGGCTAGTAGGTATTGCTATTCCCAAACGTCAAATAATACCAGAAATGAAAGGTGGTGGATGGATACAGCAGTAGAACTGTGAGCACAAACACTGTCAAATGTCTCTATGGGATCAGAAACGGAAATGGTGACAGCACCTCAGAGTGAAGCAGCAGCAAGTCCCTGTACTGCGCTTGTTTTAAGGCAGGGGTGGCCAATCTCGATCTGATCTAGGAGGCCCAAGGTTCCCAGGGAAATAGCTCAATAGCGTAATATGTGATAATGATAACACCATAGTCCTCCAGTGGGCATTCCAGCAGGAGACATAACTTTGCATGTCTGGAAGCTGTACACCCGAGAGAAGTTAACACCAAAAGTGGGATGAGGTTTTCCATGATGGGGGTGGTCCAGCACTTTGCTTCTACGAGGCAGCCATGTGGGCGAGTCTCAAGCAACTCTGCTGGATCACTGTTACAATAGTGTCTTCTCATCTCAAGCAACAGGAGAAGGAGATGGGGATGAGCAGGGCAGTTCTACCATTCTTCAGTTTTGATGCAGCCAGATCTGCCCGTGCCCATCTTAACTAGGCCTTATCTGTATTTTGCCAAACACAACTCTAGTGTGTAGCACCTTAGATTCCGCATGAGCACTGGGCCTTTAACTCTGTACCCATGCTGCTTTTCAGATTCCCCCTATGATTTCCTAGAAGCAGCAGTCAAGACTCCCCGGCCTCTGAAGCATGGAGAAGTTCAGGGCGGTCTCTCCAACAATATACTACCACGGACAGCATGAATCAGAGGCATTTCTGTCACTGTCATCGGCCTCGTTAGACAGGACAAAGGTCCATTCACTTTGGAAGCTGGAGTTGTGACACGTTTGAGGGGTTATTCCAGCCAACGATGTTGCGGGTGGGGGGAGGGGTATGAAGCTGAGACAGTGACAAGGAAGGATGATATCGGAGCATTGTCAGCTAAACCAAGCCAGTTAGATTTCAACCTGTCATTTTAAGATGAGTGAAGGAAATGCTGGTGCCAGCCCTGGTGTCTGAAGTCCTAGGTCTGCAGAACAGATACAGTCTGGTTGGCAGCAAGGCCGACTACCTGCCCTGTAGCCCCCACACGGGGCCTCAACCTTGGCCTGGAGTCTAAGGAGGATAGTTCAGTCTTCATGCTGATTCAGTCACTGGATGCTCTGCTGAGACTGCTACCAAAGAGACCAGCTGAGCAGCCAGCGATGAGGACACCTGTTCTGTGCTGCTGAACCACGGTCTAGTAAAGTCAACAAGAGTCTATCCATTGACTGCAGTGGGCTTGAGCTTAGATTCCAGGAACAGAACTGGAATCCTCTCTCCACCCATCTCGTTTCTCTTAGACCCCTGAGCAGTGATCAGATTGTAACTTTCAGACACTACCAAAGTAGGGTGGATTTGAATATGGCCCAGCGGTGAAAGGCTCCGTATCACACTATCAATTGCCTGAGACACCTACCCCGTGGGTGCTCTGTCATGCAGAGAACAGCATCGACACCCCTCCTGAGTGCCATTCCCTGGTTCTCTGAAGTCTATCTAGTGTCCTGAAAGATATTTAATGAGCCCTGGCTATAGTTTGGGCCTCTCAGTGCCATGATGCTGAGTGATAATGGGACAACGTCTTGTCAATAGGGGAGGATATGGCACACAGATGCACAGTCACCAACCACTGATGCAGCAGCAGGATGTGAGGGTGCAAGCCGTGCATAGCCATGGTTCAATATCTGAACTGGGTTATTTCTTCCCCACATGCCAAACGGAAAGGGGTGGTGCCCCGGCTGTGGCCGAAGAGCCTGGGAGCAGTAGTGAGGGGCTGGTTAGCAGGAACTCTTGATCTGCTTCTTCACTGCCTCACATGCCTGTGCACAGGACAAAACAGACCTCCCTTGCTTCCTAGGTACGGCATTGCATGACGGGTGAGAGAGGGAATAATAGCATTTCAGAGAAGCTCTACTGACTGGTCTGTCTCTGCAGCAGAAGCCAGCACCAGAAGGGTTAATTTAAAAACAGAGTAACTGAAGAAAATAGCAACTCGAATTAATGCCAGAAGACATATATAATGTCCAACAAAAGCAAATGAGATCGCATAGGCCAGGCCTCCATTAGGAGTTTAGGACTTTGGCCTTCACGATCTGGCCCAGAGATAATAATAGGGTCAACTCCAAAGTGGTGTTGCAATTTCTGCTGGAGTCAACGGGTGTTGGCAATACTCAGCACCCCTCAGGATTTAGCCTAATATAAATACAGGGGCTCCTTGCAGTTCACTGCAGCCATTCTACATCAGCAGGGTGAGCTAACTGAGGGTGCTGGGGGAGAGTCTGCTACAAGTTTCACCCAGGCAACCCCAGTGACTTTCCTGATGGTGCCCCGTGTGACTTGGAGCAGAGTGTGGCCCTCCACATCCCGAGCACTGAGAGCTTCCTGAAGGGTAACCCCCCCACACACACACACCCCAAAGTCTAAATGATCAGTGTGAGACTGGGATGGAGCAGAACATGCCCCTCGCTCCCTGTCTGGCATGTCAGCCACCCGCTGCTGCGCTAAAAGGGGAGGACAAAAGTCTGACACCTTTCGCTTGGGCGGGCAGCTCTTGGATTCAGCAGCCAGGGTGCCTGGGTTCCCTAGCAGTAGGGTTTAGCGGACAATGCTGGGCAGGGGAGCAGAGAGGGAAGTGACCACTGAGTGATCCCTGGGCAAACCCCAGGCCTATGCTATTTACTGAGCAGTGGTGGGAGCAGACGCGCCGCATCTGTCTCCCTGACCCCTGCCCTGCAGGGACATTCTGCTCCTGGCCCCAGCCTCCCAAAGCCTCAGTAAGTCAGTGGAAGAGCAGAGCTTGGGCTGGGGAGGCAGCATTTGGCATTGAGTGCAACAGCCTCACCCCTGCTTCTCCACGGGGATTGGACGCATTCCCTTCTCCCTCCCCCCGGCGTGGCCTGAACACCTCAAGGATCCATGTCCTGCTTGGCTCGGCGTGGCGTGTACGTTTGTGCGGTTGGCTGGGATGGTGGAGCTTGCTTAGCTCATCCACGGGACCCCTGCCTTCCCCTTGCTGATGGTGCTTCTGTCCCTTCCTTGTCACTCACCTCCACTTGGAATCCGAAAGAGGCAGAGAGGCAAAGCCCATGGTGATGGCAGGTATTCCTAGGGTGTGCTCCAGCCACCTCTGCTTTTCTCCCAGCTGCCTGTTACTGCTCCAGCCCCAGCAGGGAAACGTCCCACCCCCCACTTCAGGCTGGAGTTGAGGATCCAGCAAAATGACAGACTGGCTCAAAACACTCCTGTCCCTGACGGAGTAACAAAGTTTATAATCTCCCTTCCCTTGCCCACACCTCAAGCCACTGGACTTCTGAAAGGAGGTCTGGGCTGAGCAACTGCTCTTCAGCACCCCTACATGATGCTGCCCGCCCCGACGGAGGCTGACCACAGACCATCTCACATTGGTCCCCTTTCTGGGACAGAAGGCATCCAGGCCCCAGTGTCTCTGGAGCATGCAGAGAGAGTCCCCTAAGACCCAATCCTCCACCCTCTGGGACTTGATGCTCATGCGCCTTGCTTTGCCCGAAGAGAGCTAACCGGCCGGAACTCGCTCCTTTCCAGCTCCAGCCCACACAGCAAATGGCACCGACTGGCTTGTCACGCTTTATCATCGGACTCTTCCATCCCCTCCATGATGAAAGGTGGGTAAGACCCTGTCCCTCTCCACAATCCCCCTTCAGCTCAGGTTGGCTTCATCTGCAGCAGCCCCGCACATTCCCGGAGGAGAGGTGGAGCCCAATGGCTACCCCAAGCCGACATCCGCCCGCCAGCTTCTTGCTTTCGACGAGGGGTGAGGACGTTGCTGAAGGAGGCCGACAGATGCCATCGCCTTCCACCCTGTGGCACGGTGACAGGGGAGCCTGCTGTCAACAGAACCCTGAGCCAGCCCAGCTGTGGAAGGGCCCGGCTGCCGTGCGTTACCAGGGCCCAGGTGCTATTTGGGAGGGTCGCAGCCCCCACGTCCGCACTTAAAAAAATAAGGATTCTGAGAGCGCGTGGGGCTTCCTGAGACCGCGCAGAAGCGAAGGCTGCATCAGACAGTCAGGGGCAGGGCGTGCTACTGCCAGAGGAGTCCGGGCTCTGCAGCCTCCTGCCTTAAGGCTGTAAGTGTTCCAGGTATTGCGGCAGGGGGTTCTCCTTGACGTATTTCTGAATGTACCAGCACGTCAGGTGAGCTCGCAGGTCCTCTTCGACCACAAAGTCCAGCGCTGCCTAGAACCACAAGAGAGGACAGATGGGTTTACAAATGCCACACTCCCCTTGGAGCGAGCTACAACGGGATCCCGGCTCACACCCGACTGACTGTGACCATGCAGGGGGGAGCGGCCCTAGCACCAGGGAAGTTACCTCAGGACTACTTGAGAGCTGGGGCCCTTCGGGCTGGTGCCATGAAGGGAAACCTGCCTGCATCTGGCCATCTCTCAATCCTGGGCGTGCCGAGCCGTTTCAATGACAGCCCCCAGTGCCAGGCAGTAGGCCACATGCTCCCCTCTGGGGTGAGGAGCAGGAGGAGCAACCTGGGGCAGAAAAGCTGGACTCTGCCCCAAGCAACTGCCCCTCAGGGCGCAGCAGAGATGGGGCTTTGGAGGTGGAGCAGCCATAATCTATGCTTCCTCAGGACTATGTGGAAATCAGCCGAACCAGCAGCCACTCCCTCCTGCGCCAGCCACTCCTGTCAGCGGAGGGGGGCCCATGTAGCCGCTGCCCGGAATGGACAGCCATCGGGGGACAGCCTGGCACTTGCGTTACGCTGCAAAGGCCCCTTACAAGGGACAGTTTGCTGGTAACTCACAGAGTCCCCCCCTCCCCCCACGTTTGGGGTCGGGGGCCCCTGCGGCGGGAACAGCCCATTGACTCTCACTGAGCCTGCTGCGTGCCTGTATGAAGCTGGCCTGTGTGTCTCACTGCCCCAGCCTTCTCCCCCTTTCCCACACATGAAGCGCTGCTGGTGGGGAGAGCCCCCCGGCATTGGAGCCCGCTCCAGGGGTAGCAGCGAAGTTGCTCTTGCAGCAGATGCTGCGGTGGCAGACAGACCCGCCGCTGCGTGCATGAGAGGAAAAAAACAAATGTGGTTTTAGCCGAGAATGGGGACGGGAATGGGCAAACTCCCCCCCCCCCCCCAGAGCTAGGAACCCGCCTGCTGCTGCTTCCCATCAGGCTGGGAAAGTCCCTGCCCCTTTCAGAGGTAGCAGCATCCCTTCCCCTCTTCCCTGGCCTCATGCAGACAAAGGAAGCTGCTAGTTGTCCCCATCTCCCCTCTGTGTGATGCAGAGGGATTACTGCTCTCTGCGCCTGCAGTCCCTGGAGGGTACAAGCAGAAAAGCAGCAAGCTAGCTGTCAGCTCTGTGCCTGGACCGTCAGTTTAACAGAGCTGGTCCCATGTGCTGGGTTCAAAGCGACCCACCCTCCATCAAAGACATATACAGAGAGAAATCCCCATCCACTGCCCCTTTGCCCCTGCCATGAAGCAGTGCTGGAGAGGGCGAGCGAACTCCCACACGGCCAGGGCAGCCAACAGCCCCTCACGTGTTCTCCTAATCCTCTCTGTCCCGGGTTGTGGGCATGTGGGGGGAGGGGAAAGAAAGTTGACAGTTGCTCCTCCCCCCCGTTTTATTTTTGGACGTAGATTCACAGATGATGCGATTAAACCTGTCCAGCTGGAGTAGAAAGGGCACACGTTCTGAGGTGGGAAGGAAAAAGGGCTTCATCTGACCCAAGATGCGGGATCACCCCCGCAAACACCTACAGCCGAACACTGGCAGCTGTAAGAGACGTGTGTGAACTGCAGCATAAAGAAGGATTTACCCTCCCTATCTAGCAACCTCTGCAGGAGAGGCATGGATAGTGCAGGGGGCCTGATTCTATTCTTGTGCCTCTATAACTCTATTGGCTTCAAGCTTTACGACAGATCAGAATCAGGCCCGTTGCAAGGATATTGAGCTTTCATCTGCAACACTCTTTATAGGCATTTATGTAATTCACCCCGACGTACTCCTGTAGATCGGTAGGCCCTTTTTACAGGGGGAAACTGAGGCACGGAAGTAAAGGGCCTTGCTCAAGGCCACTCACCCAATCAGGTCAAAGCCGGAATTAGGGCTCAGGATAGGAGTTATGGCTCCTGAAGGTCAAAGGGAGTAACTTGTATGCTGCAGTGGGAGAATGGAGCCCTTAGTTCCTGGCTGCTAGTCCCATACTCATACCATCCCTCCCGCGTCCGCTCTCTGGGGCCAATCTGAGCTGCTGGGATAGAAGCAGGGTATTTTTATTTTCAGATGGAAAGAGGAGGCGGCTGGATTAGTAGCTGGCTGTGATGGGACTTGCCCAACAGCATTTGGAGGCCAGAAATAGGAACCCCTGAATGCAGATTTCCATACCTATAGCCAGTGCCCGAGAAGGACGAGAACTCGGCTGGCTGGTCACAGAGTCATCAGTCACTCATCACAGAAACCAGCTGCTGAGAGCCCCCTGTGCCTGAAGTGGAGCATGTGGAGTGAACTGTCTCCCAGCCAACAGAGCAAGAGTTAAGTCCCTGCTTCCATTACATGGCTGTGATTCTACAGGGACCCTCTTCCCGGCCTGGCTAGGGGACAATCATGCCAAGCTGTCAGATGCCAGGAACAAAACAGGGCTTCCAACAGTGCCAAGGAGGGTAAAAGGGGCATCTCTCTGCTGATGGAGCAGTGGTGCAGTGTCACTTAAGAAGCTCATGTGGGGGTGTTTCTGGGGCAGCCTGCTTATCTCTGAAGGATACATCTCACCTCGTTCCCCGAGCTTGGAAAACCCGGTGGGAAGCCAAGTGAACATAAAAACGGCCATACTGGCCATCCAGCCCAGTAATCTAGCTTCTGACAGTGGCCAATGCCAGGTGCTTCTGAGGGAATGAACAGAACAGACAATCGTCAAGTGATCCATCCCCTGTCGCTCATTCCCAGCTTCTGGCAAACAGAGGCTAGCGACAAGTGCCTCAGTAATGAGTACTAGACACGTCAGGGAAGTGCTGCTCAGAGACTCCAAACTAGCGCCCCTCCGCCTTTGCAATTTGAGAAGCCTCCCAAAAGCCAAAGAGACACCCACTTGCTGGGCGCCAGCTCCATCTGCATCCAAGGTGGGGCAGGCTGTTCTCAACATGCGCGAGGCTTTACAATATCTACTGGAAGAGGAGAGTTGTCCTGCAAAACTGCTCCCCTGTCTTACTGTCCCTGCCAGCGGCTCTCCCCCAGGGCAGGAGCCACACGCTCCAGGAGCCAAGCAGTGGGTGGGAGAGGTACAGCTTTACGGGAGAAACAATAAATGACTAACAACGATCACGAGCTGGCTGAGCATCTCAGTCGTTCAGCAGCAGGCAGGGGACGAGCAAGGGGCACGTACAGCAGGGAGTATGGGGAATGCAGCAGGGCGGGTGTGAATGGGCAAGCGCGGCAGGAGGGGAGAGTGGGCACGGCAGGAATTAGGAACGTATGCAGCAGGCCACGTTCCCCGCCACACAGAGCCCGGGCCTTGCAAACAGGTTTGCCTCATGGAGGAGGAGTGGATGGGTCAGGGGAAGCAGAGCAGGGAGCAAGCTCCGGAATCACCAGGCTAACACTCCCCACTCGCAGAGGGGAGCGTGCTCTAGGACTGGGAAGAGCGGGTGGAAGCAGTGAGGGACCCACCCCAAAGAGAAGGTTGGTGGTAACACAGTCTGTAGCCAGGGCGATCCTAGGTTTGTAACGGGGCTGGCTGGTACCCACCAGGGACAGAGCCCAGCAGTGATATCTAGCAGGGCCCAATGTTTCTTGCTCACTCTGCAGCTAACCTAGAGAACGTACCCCCACCCTGCGTCCATGGAGCGCTCGAGCGCAGCTGGCCACGCTGCTGCAGACATGCCATTTGTCTGTACTTGTGCCTTTAGACACCAAGTGCTGTGGGGCAGGCACAGACTTACTTCAGGGCTTCATCCTGTAGATTTACAGCAGTGCGGAAAGCAACTCTTTATTAGGGCCAATGCGATAAGGAGGAGCCACTTAACCCTGCCCTGCACTGCAGGCTGAAAGGCCTGGTAGGAAAGGCCAGGCACAGAACTTCTAGGGATTATGTTCCTAACTGGGATGCTGCAGTATTGGTGCCTTGCCTGGAAGAAAGAGGGTTCAACGTCTGGAGGCCTGGTTGGAGCAGGGAGAGTGGGACTCCTTAAGCAGTGCTGGTGACGTGGCTCATTACTCCTGCAGCACGCAATCCAGATAAAAGACAAGTCACCGGTGGCCTTGGAGGGAGAATCGATGTAGCAGTAAGGAGTGGGAAAGCAGAGGCTGCCAGGAGGGGGAGAACGTAGGGTAGGACAATAAGCAGAAGGAACGCACGGAGGTGTATGAGTGATTGAGTTAGGCCTCAAGAAACCAGCACAGAGGCAGGCAGGCTGGGGTGCAGGGAACTTAATATCCAGGAAATTTAGTTTGAGGGCAGAGCATTCCTGAAATAGCTGAAGACGAGGAGTTTAGCAGAGAATGTCTATCAAGCTGCTTGAAGCCATCAAAGGGGAAAGTAAATCATGAGCATAAATCCAGAATGGGTGGAGGCAGGAGAGAGTAACACCGACAGACCCCAGTTGTTGGCGGTCGGGATCGAACCTGGGACCTCAGTGCATGAGCCCCTACTGCATGAGCTAAAAGCTGGCTGGTTGTTAGCTAAGGCTGTGGAGCAGAGTCATTAATCTCTTTCTCTCTAAGTGGTCCACAGTGCCACTGGCTGGGATAGAACACCACACCCGGGAGGTGTGTGGGTTACAAGAGGATGGGGGTGAGAGGATTTCTAATAGAGAGGCAGGCTTGTGCCACTGAACGTGGAGCCCTGCTTGTAACAGAGGAGCTGGTAACCCCTGGACGGCAGGGGGAGGAGGAAAAAAGTATGAGAAAATGGTAAGAGATCATTTCCAAGGTCACTGTTGTGAGAGAACATGCTCGAGGGTCCCCCGGCCTAGAACATGGAGCATGAACAGACTGGGCAAATGCACACAGACAGTCTGGAGGAAGGGAGAGGAGACTGTGACATGGAAGAGTAAGCTTGGAGGTGTACACGCAAATCAAACTCAGCTTGGGCATCAGCCAAGGAGGAAGTGAGGAACACCAGCTGGGATTTGTGCCGGGGGAAACCAGGGCGTGGAGGCAGCCGAGAACATCCCTGGCATTGCAGCCTGGAGAGAATGGGGCAGACAGGAGGACGCTCTGCAGAGCGGCCATCACAGTCCCATTCAAATCAGACATTGGGGGAAGAGCCACCTTCGCAAAGCTTTTCTTCTGTTAAGGACGGGGTGATAGGCTCTGGACTCCTCCAACCCCCAGCAATGCTGAAAACCCCCCACTCCAAATCCCACAACACCAGATCCCCCCAAAGTTATCATCTCCCCAGCTTGCTGCCTACACAAAACTCCCCGTCCTCCTTCCCACAACACACACAGGCAAGAGGCAAAACACTTGCCAGCCACTTTTGAGAGTCCGTGATGACACAGGAAGGACACCAGTGAGAACGGAACATGCCCCCAGCTACATTATTGCATCAGGCAACAGAAGGAACAGCTGAGCCACGAGCACGGCCCCTAGAGACTCCGTCCCGCAGAAGGCCCACAAGAAAGGAGTTTATCATCAAAAATCCATTCATTCCCCATGCCTGTGCATTCCCAGCACGTCCCATCCTCCATGGGAACCTTCGATTGCAAGCTGGTTGGCTGATTTGTTTTTGTTTTTTTCTTCTTGGTACCTTAAAGGGGAAGAATCAGCGAAATGAACAAAGAACGCCAAGATTAGGGGCAAGGAGGAGAGGTTAACGTGAGGGTCGCAGCGCCTGTAATTTGGGGTGGTTTGGCTCTGCTCCCACAAAAACGTCACTTTGACAAAGGGTGTTGTTCCAAAGCTTTGTTGACATGTTAGAAAATACAGCGCATGGGGAAGATACAGCGATCAGACACAGAATGCTTTGGATCCATTGCGCTGCAGAGTGGCTCATTAGCGTGACAGAATAATGAAGCAAAGAGGCTCAGGGAAGGAAGAGCCTGAACCAAAGCTGCAAACGGAAGGGGGAAATAAAAGGTTGTGTGTGAGAGAGATACCCCCACCCCTGCAGCAGACTCACCATAACACTGCAGCACGCCAACAAAGAAGGTCTTGAGGAGTCTACACTACGGGAAGGAACATAAATCAAGGGAAGTTATTCTCTCACCGGAGAAGCCAGGAGCCAGAGCACGTTTGCACCGTGGAACGCAGCTCTGGTCTCCATACTACAGGGAAGAGATGGAAAGATCACAGCAGAGAGCAATTGGAGTGACGTGTGCATCAAGGCATGTGAGTTAGGAAACAATATGAGGCCGATTCAGCCGACGGAGCAGGAAAAGGAAAAGGAACATTTCCTGCCAAGAAAGAGGATCCAGCGAGAAGACGAAGGACAGAGCAGCGCGAAGAAGCCATTTCAGAGAGTAACGCATTCAGGAACAGCGGAAAAGCACTAGCCCAGAAGCAGAAATTCCTTCATAGCCTGGGGCGGTTGAAATTGCAAACTGCCAAAAGTCAGCAACCACACTAATCGCGAAGGCAGCTGGGCCAACTGCTGGGAAAGGAGAGCGGAAGGAACATGGCCGTTCATCAGGATTTATTAGAGCAGGCCCTAATTGGCCAGATGGCCTCCCCTGGCTCTGAGCATTGCTGCGCCTCTCCACGCCTCCCCTTGCTCCTTCGGCAGCTTGCTTTTTGCAGCGCCCTTCCAGTGAGTGTTTCTGGGCAACTTTGGTGCAACCCACCCCCTGTTGAGATGGCCTCTCCCCTTTCTCTGGTGTTCCTGCGTGCCACCCTTCTGGAAGGACATGGTGCTAATCCCTGGAGTCACAGGCCTGGGCTGGAACAGACCCTGGCAAAAAGGCTTTATTTATTTATTTTTTTTTTTGCAAAATTTCATTAAAATGCCTGTTCACAGATTCAGTTTGTGGCTCAGGAATGTCAATTTTCACAACTTTTTTTGCAAAGTGTTCTGTTTTGCATCCAAACCTCCAAGATGGAGGGGATTTTTTGGGAGGGAGGGGTAGAGAGCCAGGTGAGGGTTTTTGTTTTGTTTTTTTCCCCAAGATTTGGAAAAATGCTAAGGTTTTTGCTCTAAATTGGTCGTGTTTCACAGGTTGTGTCAAATGGGTTACTTGAGTGAGTTCTAAACACTGCAGAAGCAAACTGCTGCTTTTAGCCATTTGAGAGGCAGCATGGTGCAGGGGTTAGGGCACTGGATCTGGCTTCTTGTCCTTGCTCTGCCACCGATCTGCTGCCTGACCGTTGGTAGCTCACTTCACATCTCTATGCCTCTGCTTCTTCTCCCACCCTTTGTCCAACGTGTCCCTTTAGCCTGAAAGGTCCCCGGGGCAGGGACTGCTGCTCACTCTGCATACATACAGCACCCAGCGCAACAGAGCCCTGATCTCAGTTGGTCTCTAAATGCTATTGTGAGAGAAGTAATATTAGTCCATAAAGGAAGGCAAAATGTCTCTAGAGGCTGGTTGGGTCGTACCTTAGCCAGGTGCTTGGCTATTCCTCTTCCTCGGTAGGCGTCTGGTACCTCTGTGTGCTGCAAGTCCACTATCCTCTTCCCCACGTACTCGTAGAGCAGCACTGCCCTGTCGTGGCAACCTACGGAACGCAAGGCAGGAGTTTAGTTACAGAAATGCCTTGGGGGATAGAACTCTCTGCTCGGGGTGAATGCAGCTCACAGTGATGCTAAGCTAGCACGGGTGTCTATCCTAACTCCTGGCATCTAGGGATCAGCTCTGCTGAAGGAGCTTGCAACATCTCTTTGTTGGAACAGAAGGAGGCCACCACAGTCTAGCACACTGGAATGCAATGGCTCAGATTTTGCTCCTAGTTATACACCGATTCCCCATTTCATGGAAATGAGGTGAAACCGAGGGCAGGATCTGGCCTACTGGGATAGCTTTGAGGTTTCCCCACCACACACACCCCAGGCCTTGAATTACCATATTATGATGAAATGATTTGTAATATGTACAAATATTGTTCAAATCCTGTGCTGGCTAGAGGTTGTGGGGGAGGGAGGGAATGGGTGGACTAGGTGACCTAACAAACAGATCTTTCCTCTCTAATATAATTTTTTTTCCCCTGTGGCATATAAAATCTGCTAGCATTTTCTGATCTGGCAGCCAGAACTGGCATTTCAAACACTTTGGATCTAGTAGAGGATAAAAATTCTTCTGTGAATGAAAACAGACAGACAGACACACACACACACACACACACACCCCTTAGGAAAAATTAAATGTTTCCATCACAAACATGCATGACAAATATATAATAACAACACTGTTAATTTCTCTTCGTAATTCAAATACAAGGGAAAAGGTCTCAGTACGTGGAAAGTGGTGTGTGATACATTTGAAAGATTCTGAGATTTGACCAATATTAGAAGAGAAATCATTTGAATTCTGCATTTCCATAGGTTATGCTTAAAGTTTCTCAAAGGGATTTGAACCAAGGATTTAGATCAGCCTTGCCGAATGGTCATGAATGTTCACCAGTCCAGACACAGAGGGCTCTCCCCCTTGTGCAATCATTGCACTGGCCTAAGAAATCAGTATAACACACTACGAGATCAGAATGGTAGCATTTCATACCCATGTTGTGCGAGCGTGATTACAAACTGGGCTGGACTATGCAGGATCTGGCCCAGGTACTCACTCATTCTTACTGGGATGAAGAAAAGTTAGTGACTGATATTTTGCACAACTGTCAAAAAAAAAAAATCCCCCACATCAAATGAGTAGAATTTTGCACACCCAAATTAGATATCGGGGTGTGCAGGGGGCAAGTAAAGGCAACTACCATTATTTTCTCAGCAACAGCTCACGCACTGCAATTTGATAGTAATTTAGACAGAACAGAGAGATTTTGACATCCGTGCATAAGAAAGTTTCTGAAACCCACAAACAGAGCTGATGGATCAGAAAAGACTGTCTCCCTCACCAGCCAGTTGCAGTTGGCTGATCTACATGAAGTCACATTGTGAGTATGTGGGCAGCCACCGGTTATTTGTGAAAGCGTTTACCATACCTCAAGCTTTGCATGTTTTAGTACAAATGAAAATTCATTCACAAAAATCACACCAGAGCGACAGGGCCAGATTAACCTTCTGTGGGCCTGGCGCCAAACATATTTGTGGGCCCCCATGGAGGCAATGGGGCATAGCGCGGGGAGGTCAGTACCTGGAGCGAGGGGTCAGCCAGGGGCAATGGGGCATGGCAGGGGAAGCCCAGCTCCGTCCATGGCGAGGGCACTATTTACAAACTGGCAGTTGCCAGACGCACAGTGGCCTGCCCGGCCCTGTGCTGCCAGCATTACCCTCCTCTTTGGGGGCAGGCCCATGTCACACCACACAGCCCGCCCCCCTGCCCAACACCCCCTGACTCCCTATGCCCAGAGCCTCCCCGGGCCCACTATGCCCAGTGCTCCCCCCCAGGCCCACCCACAAATGCCCAGCGCCCTGCACACTACCACCTGGGCCCAGTGCCCCCTTGCCCCACAGCCCCACCACAACTGCCCAGCACCCCCACAGAACCCCCACTCCCTAGTGCCCCAACACACACAGATCCTCCCCGCCCCCTCACAGCCCAGCACCCCCCCCAGACTCCCCACAGACCCACTCCCCCCAGCCCTGCCTCCCGGCCGCACTCACCGACCCTGCTGGGAGGTGACCGTGTCTGCCGGGCTGAGCCAGTAGCGCAGCCCAGGGCTGGTCCCAGGGCAGGGAATCGTTCTGGCCCCTCGGGAGTGGCGAGATCAGCCAGGCCAGGACCTGCCCCGGCCGGGGTCCCTCAAGACGCATTTGCCTGGAGGGGCCCAGCCCAGCCAAGCCCCCCCGACATCCCTCCCCACCTGGCCAAGACTGGCCAGGCTTCTGCACCAGTCCCAGGTGGCTCAGCTCCGGGGAGACACGGGGGCCCCCAGAGGTGGTGTGAAGCAGAGACTGCCCGGAGCTGGAGGTGCACTGGGGTCCAGCCTGGGGGCTGAGAGGAGCAGGGGGGTGGGGCCAAGGAGCGGAGAGGAGCCCTTGGTCGGCCAGCGGGCAGGCGGAGAGGAGCAAGTGGTGGGCGGGGGGAGCCAGCGGGGTCTTGGGGCGCAGTGCAAGAGGAGCAGGCTGGGGCCCCTTCTGAGCATGGGCCCGGCTCCATGGAGCCGTTGTAAACCCGGCACTGCAGAGCGACTGTGGTTCACCACGTGTCATTTGCACGTTTAGAAAGTTTTAACCATCCAGTTAGAGAGCAACAACAATACCATGTGATCTGAGTGACCAATCACACGCCACAAATAGCTGAAGCAAAGAGCTTACAAACAACAGATAAATGGAAAATTCTTGGCTATTTAGGAACACAGGACTGGAGTCACTGAGGTCACTGAGTCCAGTCTCCTGCTATCACAGGCAATCCAGTCTTATCAATCCATTCATAAACTTATCAAGCTCCATCTTAAAACTAGTTAGATTCCCGGCCCACACCACTCCTGCTGCAAGGCTGTTCTAGGACCTCACTCTGACGGTTAGAAAATTTCTTCTAATTTCCAGCCTAAATGTATTCATAGCCAGTTTAACCCCAATTGTTCTCAGTTGACTTTGTCCTTTAACTCAAATAGCTCTTCTCCCTCCCTGGTGTTTACCCACTGGTGTTTTGACAGAGAGCAATCGTATCTCTGCTCACGCCGCATTTTGCTAGTTAAATAAGCCAACCTTTTCCAGTTTCTGGCCAAACCTTTACGCTTGAAGAAGTCAGGCTTGGGAAATGGACTGAAAGGCAACTAAGTTTATAGAGAATCCTGGTCCTGATCCTCCACTGCCCTGCATCTTCTGAAGCGCAAAGTGGCAATAAGACCCTACGAAAACAGAGTAGTAGCCTTGCACACTCGTTCTGCACTGGTGGAATGACCCACATGGAGAATCAGGCCCATTGTTCACAGTAAAGACTTCAACCAGCTCTACCTGCAAAACAGGGATGGAAATTATACACAATTCTCCCACACTGGAGGAAACAAACAGTCATGTATTTGGAGCTGCTCTGTGATAATTTATGAACACTGGGGTGTTTACTGTATGAGATTGGTTTAGTTTAATACAGGGGGCTGTCAGGAAAAACAAACAGGAAAGGAAAGAATGTCTTGAGAAATGCCTCCCTCAGCGTCCCCCAGCCAGCCCATCCACACTGCCTGGCCCATGCTGCCTGGGGCTCCAGCAGCGATTTAAAGGGCCCAAGGTTGTGGCAGCAGCGGCCGGAGCCCCGGGCCCTTTTAAATCGCAGCCCTGGGGCAGCCGCTCCTTTTGCCCCCCCAGCCCTGTCAGCAGCCGGGGGCGGGGGGGGGGGGGGCGGGCAAAGGACCAATGACATTAAAGTGGCCCTTTGCCACAGCAGTGCTTTAACGTCAGCTGAGTACAGGCTGGTACCTGGCTGCCACTTTTTACTGGTACGCTGTACTGGCCTGTACCAGCTGACTTTCACCCCCGCTTTTGGGTCAGGACCCCCAATTTAAGAAACGCTGGTCTCCCCCGTGAAATCTGTATAGTATAGGGTAAAAGCACAAAAAAACACTAGATTTCACGGGGGAGACCGGATTTCACAGTCCATGCTGCGTTTTTCATGGCCGTGAATTTGGTAGGGCCCTAATTAAAGCAGTCACCAGTAGCCAGTAATTTAAAGCCTATAATTAAAGGCTTTAAACAGTTTGTTATAAGTGCTCTGTTCACACGCTCCTAACTTTCCACCACACTCGTCTTCGGGGTTGAAAATTTCCATGGTCTCTGGCTGATTTTTTGGAGAGTTTAAGCAAAATCCTTTCAGCTGTGGCAGAATGGGGGAAAAAGTTACATTTCTCATTCTATAAAAACCTATTACGTATATGTGCGTGTATGCGCGTACAGAGTACTGCAGCAAAAGATGTCTTAAAATATGAAACCATGGCCTGGGCAGCATCTTTATTGAATATTTGTATTTGTTATCACAGTAGCAACTGGACACTCCAGCCAAGACTGGTGCCCCATTTTGCTAGGTGCTGTACACACACCTAACAAGAGACAGTCTTACCCTTGAAGGATTTCCAATCTGAATACACAGAGAAATAACCTACTATCCCCATTTTAAAGATAGGGAACTGAGGCCCAGATTAGCAAACCATCCTTATTCAGCCAAGCATGCGAACACATGTTTAACTTTAAGCACATGGGTGAATCAGACCATAAGGGATTTGCAGAGCCAGCAATTGAACCAAGATGCCCAAGTTTCAGTCCAGCTCCTTAAGTGCAAGGCCATCTTTCTTCTCAGGAAGTGTTAGGCTTTTACTCACACTTTTTAAATGAGTGTTTCATCTGTTGTTTGACTTTTTGAAAATTATGCCCCAAGTGCGTAGTAGAAAATGGAGTTGTTTACTGGCGCTCAGGTAAACATAGGTGTACGCTGCATGTGTCCACGGCCAGTTGAGCGTGCACAGGCACTGATCCTGCGTGGAAGGTCCATGAAGAGCCCCACTGAAGTCCATGGGGGTGCAGGCATCCACCCGGGCATGCCGTGGCTTTATTGCTTAAAGCAATTTACAAACTGGGGAAAGTCACGGGAACTTGGTCCCTCCAACAGCAGAAC